GACAATTTGGTTCCTTTTTATCACTTGTCTTATGTAGGGTTGTCTAATTATTGAACAAGTATTATTGAAGATTGCTCTCAATTTCTTATAGATTATACGTTATTCATTTTACAAATCAATGAATTATTGATTCATTTAACTATATACTTTCAAAAATTCTATCCCTCTCATTAATATTCCTCTGATTGAATTATTGGCTAAAGTGAAATTCTATAACAGATTGGAGTATCTCATTAGTAAGCCGGTTCGAACTAATTCATCATATTCTGATATTATTGATTGATTTGAGCCTACATGTAGAAATCTCTGCATTATTTTAATAGAGTGAGATGGACAATCTTGAAATTTCATTAATTAAATAAATTTATATATTGTGTATTTTAATGTTTAAAACTATTAAATATAAAAATATGTGCACTAAATACAAATCAATCCTTGGATGCACGTTCACATGCTTGCCACTATGTGATTTATGATCTATGGAGCCCACATTCCTCATTTGTGTAATTCCTTGTAAATAGATTTTAATCACTTTATTGAACAATGTCAACTTAATTTACAAATTATGTGCTGAATTGGGACCCCTTTTCATGGCTGCCCATGTGCTTTTGCATCTTTTGAGTATTTCATTGGTTGAGGTGATGACTGCAATTAGATGTGATTAGTAAACTAATATATTAAGATGTCAAGTGGATGATTAATGAAGTATCCAGTTATTGGCCCTTTTTGAACATTCCTTTTCATTAAGTTATAGATGTATATATTCTAGGTTTTAATATTTAAATGCAACGCAATACTTATAATATATTTTTATGTTAATTATATTAGTCATGTCCTAAAACGATAAAATTAAGTGTATATATACTTAGGTGTAAAATCATGTTATATTCGAGACGTCAAGGATTTGCTAGAAATTTCAAATTGAATAAGAGGTAGATCAAATGTTGGGTGAAAAACTCAAATCAACATGAGTAGAAGACGCACCTTGAACTTCCTTTTCTTGATAAAAACAAAAAGATAACTATTATGCCCTCGTTTGGTCCTCATTCTTTCCAAATTTTATTGGTTGGAATAGTGTTTTTCTAAAAAATGTGTGTTTGAAAAACGAATGAAATTTTTTTTTATTTACGTGTAATATTATTTTATGGAAGATTATATGGTTAAAAATAAGAATGAAAAAGATAATGACGGCATAATATTACTACATCTAAATCTCTGACTGTGGCGACTAATTCAATAGAAATTTCATTATTAACAAGAGAGACGGTGGGGCATTTTGTTGTTGTAGCAGTATTAAGTTTTTTTTCAGTCGACGATATCAAAGACGATGAAATTGAATGCGAATGTTCTTGATTTTCATGTATTTTGTCCACAGAGGAATGAAATAAAAGACAATGAGGATAGGAAAATTGTAGTTAAATCATGATAACTTGGCCCTTAAATTGTGATGATAACTACATAAACTATAAGATTATTTTATAAGAGATATAGAACAATAACATCAAAAAATTATAATATTCTCAATAAATAAAAAATTATCCTTCTCCAATAAGCTTGTTAGGATATGTTTAATAATTATAAATTATTAAAAATATTTGATGAAAGGATAGTATGGTCATTTCACAGAAGCTAAAGTGGGCGTTTTCAGACACCGGTTAGTCACTTCTGATACACAACAATAACTACCCACAGATGTGGACAGCTGTAGTAACTGTCTCCATCATACCTAATTTTGGGGCCCACATTCTTCTTTAATCACACTCACTCCCTCTCATTGTTAGCAATAGTTTTAAAAATGTTACAATTTTTTCTACTGTAGAGTAAATTATAGTATTACACATAGGAATGTTAAACGGGCCAAGCAGCTCGTCGACTCGATCGCTCGGCTTGTCAAAAATCCGGCTCATGGGCGGCTCGGGCTCGTCATTGCCGAGCAGCTCGTCAGCTCGATCGCTCGGCTCCTCAAAACCCGGCTCGAGCTCGTCGAGCCCACGAGCCATTTTGATAAGTCCACGAGCCGTGGTTTCACAGGGTGCCTTTCTTCTTGGCACAAAAAGGGACATCGTGCAGCAGTAGTCTGCTCCGCTAGACTACCTTCCGCATTTTTTCAAACTACGGCTGCGATAGTGTCAAGGGGCTAAGTAAAGCTGCGGTCCTTGACACGTGGGTTCGTCAAAAAATTTTAATTTTTAAAAAAAAAATGTCCAAAACATGCGATGTACCAAAAAAATTAAAAAAATCACGAGCTCACGAACCACGAGCCCGAGCCAAACTCGTGGATTAAAGGGCCGAGCCTCGGCCCATTGCCATCACTAATTACATATCAAGCATGCAATTAAAATATTTACTATGTCATAATATCGTATTGAGAATCAAGATTTATTGTCCCCATTGATTTTATTCCTCCCATTCAATTTTTTAAGCCTCGATAGATTACATCTTTTAAGTAAATGAGAAGAAGACAACCTAGAAAACACGAGATATCACATTTGAAATGTCATTTTTTTCATTTGTTAACAAGAGCTTATATGTCATGATGTCAAATTTTATTGTACATTTGGCAAAATTTATAAATAGTTCAACTTTATTTTCAATCACAAATTTTAATTGACCTACAAATACTATTCACTTAGAGACTACTCATTTCTACTTATTTATAAATTCTTTCCGAAAGAAGCTTAAATGAAGGACACCCAAATGGAAACAACATATCTCAACTCTTTGTCTTAGTTAAACATACCATAAATGGGAGTTTACTCTCTTTTTTCCCCCTTTCAAAGAAAAGGAAAAACGTATCTTAAACCTGCAGATTGAATTCATTTCTGAGAACCAAAAAGGTTGGAATTAAACGAGGCAAAGTCACATGGGTCCATGTGTATTGCAGTGTTGGTGCACGCTAATGTACCAAGAAACAATTGATATCAAAGCAAAGCAAATGTGCAGTGTCATGTCGTTTGTTTGTCTTTAGACTAATCTATTCGGTGATATTTGGATTTGTGGTCCTCCTTCAATCATCAAGGGTCACTACTGTAGCAGTACCATGCAAATTTCGATGAATTGCAGTTGTGAAAGAATAATGATATTCATCTCTATTATAAATCATGTCACATTGTTCAATAAAATTGAAATGTACCTCTATTTATTGAATTGCCACATAGACATGTGATGAACGCCAACAGTGATGTAGCATTACTCGTGAAATCCGCACAAAAATCGAACTTAGTTTAGCTTGGGTCAAGAGCAACCCGCTTACCGACCTAGGCTATCTAGACTTTTATGTCAAGCCATGCACATTTCTTCATGGCTAGCCAAAATGCGTACGCCTATAGCTAAGCCGGGTTGGGACTAACTTATGAACCTCTTTATAATTTCCCTCTCTTTTTGGTCCATGTGTGCCTGAAAAACTAGGTCCTCTTGACCCATTATTATCCAACGCTCAGCATTTTACAGGTTGAACTATCTCGAGCTTAAAGCCCGTGACAATTTGACACCTATCAATTTTGAAGAGAGATTATATGCCATTTGCATGTGGTTGGTCTTGGAAAACCAAATGCATCGTGTGAATACATGACAATGTGCATACACACAATTAAGTTGGGCACCGTAGTACCTACATAAGTTAGTCAACAAGGTATCAACAACAACAGTTGAAGCGTTTTTTGGCACAGCCTAATGGAAAATTGTTTTCCCTCATATTTATTTTCAAACACAAATTTCTCTTTCGTTGAACAAGTGTACACAATGCCAGTTTCTCTTTAAATGCGGTAGGGACTTCAACTCTTCAATCCACATGGAGCAGCAGTTCCTTTGGCAACTTTAGGGAGGAATTAACGATCTTATCATTTTATAAGATTCTTATACTTATAGCAACTCAGACAAACATATATTCATCACTCACCATTGATAATTGACTAGCACTAGGGTACCAAGTAACCCTCCAATATAGTCACATTGATGTGTCATATTCATTGCTCCTTGTGGCACACTTGTCATTTAAATCTGGTATAAAGCATATAATAGCCCTAATCTGACACTAAAGGACAATTGGCACAATAGCCAATCAAGAAAGCAAAAATGATGTACGTTGAGTAGAAACTAAAAATCACCTAATTTGACAAAATTCATCAAAATAACCAATGTTTTTAACCTAGACCAGTCTTAAATCGGAAACAGTAGGCTTCAAGGGTAAGGAGTGTTCAAAATTGCTTAATTCCCAATATCTTCACAACCCTCAAACTAAATTCAAGGCTAAAAGGACTAAAAGCAACTCTTTTAGTTTTCTGTCCACAAAAGTTTAAAGCAATGGATTCTTATGGCATTATTAGGACATTAGGGTGTGTTCGTTCAAGATTTGAAGCCATTCCTTTGGAAAATTATTGGGGCAAAGATGCGAAACTCAATTATTCTCAAGGACCCCACAGCAAAATGGAAAAGTTCCCCAGCCACGTGAATAAAGAAGATTGCGACCTGGATTCCTGCACCTGACTGTCCTTATTTCATCCTAATTATCTTCTATTTACCAAATTAATAGCACCAGAAAAAATTAAAAAAATATCAAAGCAATTTTTAAGGGAAAAATAGAAAATATATTTCATAGTGAAATATTCAAGAGAGAGGAGAATAATAGAAAAAAGAATAATAAGAGAAAATTCATAAAATTATACGCTGGGATGAGATTGGCTTGAAGTGAGCTGATTAAGCTGGTGGTTACCAGGAGGAGAAGCTGCAGCGTTAGAGGAAGAAGAAGAGCCGGGAACAGAAAGCAGCTCGGCTAATGCGCTCATAGCTCGGACTTGCATTTCAAGAGCCGCTATATAATCAGTAGCCTCCTCTAATATTACTGGCAAAGGCTGTTTCCGGCAACCTGGAACTAACCGACTAAGAACTCGAGTCTTCCTCTGAACAGCCGGTAGACTCTTCATCTTCAAACTCAAAATACTCACTCTTGATTTCCTCTGTGACTGACTGCTCCCCGTTGTAGCCACCATTACATTTCTCTGCCTCTTGTTGAGGTTATTCTTTTTGAGGAACTTGAGCTTGAGCCTGTTTGTCAGAATGGCTCGGCTCCATCGGGAACGGCCCTTGGCTGAGGCAGCCAACACCCTGTACGCTGCTTCACGGACGGCTCGGCCGCACTTCGGAGCTGATGCAAGTGTTGAGCTGCTGCGACGGACTTGGCGTAGAGCTTGGAGCAATTTTGATGAGTAACTATTCTGCCGAGCTTCAGATTTCCATTGAATTACTGAATTTTCAGTGGAATTCTGAAGGTTATTAGTATTATGATTCTCTCCAAGGATTTGGCCGTGGATTTTCTTCTTCTTCTTTCTTCTTATGGATGATCTGTCGGAATTCACTACTGGATTCGAGACCAGTGATGATGTCATCTTCAGCAATTTTTATCAATCAAATCCAATCAAAATGATTGATGAGTGGACCTGAAGATTCAGTTCCGTGAATAAAATTGAGTTAGAATCAACAAGTACCGGTAGATTCAAAGAGGCTTCAAATAAAAGTGTAAGAATTTAAACCGATGATTTAGGATAGAAAAACATAATTAAATAGAATTAATTTATCAGAGATACTGATAATTAGAAATCAGATATTAAGCCTGTTTACGTTCTTAACGATATAGAATCGATTGAAGTTCAAGAAATTCTACAAAATTCAAAACTTATAAACAAAAAATCAGAGGCTAATGAATTAACTAAAAAGCTTATAAACTCTACAAAACAGTTCGGATGATCAATAAGCAGGAAAAAACAAAACATCCTTTTTGAAATAACTGCGAAACAAATATATAATAGATAAGTTTTCAAACTCAACGTGAATAATGGAATCGATATTCACTCTGCAATTAGCAACCGCTTTAAATTTCACAAATTCCACGAAATTCTCAAATTCTAATTTGAAATTACCAAACACAGCCAGAGGCCAATGAATCAACCAAGAGATAGCAGAACAGAGAAGTTTTCAAATTCAACGTGAATAATCGAATCGATGAATAATGAATTCACCTGGCTTATATATCTTCAAAAACTCTGCAGATTGATATAATAAAAATTCAGATCGAAATTCCTGGTTATATATACGTACACGTATGTATTTTCTGTGGAGATTTGATGGCTAGGTACTGCGTGGGTTGATGTGGGGAAGAGTGGAGTCAGAATGGGCGAGAGAATTAGTGGGGAGAGAGTGGGAGGCTGAAGGGAACTTTAAAGGGAATCACGACTGAGCACGCGGGGAGCCTAATGCCCGGGCCCCGTGCTTGTACTGAAAATAAAATGAGAAAATCAGAGTACGTGGACTACTGATACGAGAGAGCATTGTCTTCACAGTTATCGGGTTATATTTAGCCTTCGGGTGAGTTTGGGTAGGACCGGTGAGAAGCACGGTGTTTCTCGAGTAGGAGTGTGAAGATAGATGGATAGAATTAGTCCTCGGTGAAGCTCGAAAAATCTTTAAAAGATGAGCCTTAATTTAAAAATTAGAAAGCAATAAAAATAATTGAAAACAAATATTTTGTGTTAAGTAGGCAGTAAACTAAGTATTATGGTCGGATAAGCACAATTAATGGATCATGTAACGAATCGAGTCTCGTGTTGAAAACATTAACTCACAAGTATTGTCCGTTTTGAAAGAGCCTTTGTCCATTTTACTTCGTACTGCTTTTTATCGTGTTTTTCAATATTCGAACCTTAGAATTCTATTTTATAAAAGACTTAAATTGAATTCATGAATAATAAGATGAACACAAGTTATACCAAAATGAGCAGCATGTTATAATGGCTTAGACACAGGGGTCGAATTATTAGAGATCAAGTTTTGAACTTTTCATCGAACTAGTGTTATTTAGTGCAAAAGTGGTGCTTAGTATAGTTTCCGTGCTAAATAGCAATATTCCATTTGTTTTAACAAAATTACGTCTATGGTTAGCATTACTCGTATAATACATCATTTATTAAACCATAAAATTGAAAATTTTGAGTGAAATCGACTCTACAAATATGTATGTACATGTATTGGCTCACTCCATATGGAAAAAGTATAATATCAGAATTGATACAAAAAGAATTAAGCAAATAAGTTGACTGAAATAATGATGATCAAAAACATTTGCAAATGGCTGCATGATAATGACCTGTCCTAACTCGTATTTACCCATGTAATCATAAATTTGATCGACACCAAACTCATAGTACCATGTTTATATCATGAATATATCCATGAGTTAAAAAATAAAAAATCTGGCTCCCACCCAATCATAATTGAGACTTAAGCTCTATCTTCAAAAAGTCCATTTTAAGAGTATTTTCAGGATTTTTTAAAAGTGTGATGTTATTTGTTTTAAAGAGTCAAAATTAAAAATTAAGTTTAAACACTCTTTATTTTAAAATTTTAAAAGATAGTGTGTGTTTGAATCTCTGCATTTAAAAAGTCAAATTCATCTTTTATTCGTATTTCATCATGATTGAATCTAATAAAATTGCAAGTTTCAATACTCGATTACTTAAATTATTCATATTACAATAAATATTTTAACTATTAATTTATAAATAAAGAGTTTATACAAAGAATTTTACTCTTTAAATTTAAGGATACTCCTTAAAAAAATAAGAGGTTTGTTTGATTCCCATTAATTTAATTTATGATTTGTTATATTATCATTTTCAACCACATATTTACACAATAAAAATTGTACACGTATACGAAATTTTTTCTCTAATTTTAATTACACGTTCTCCTAAAAATGCTATTCAAAACTCATTTTTCTCCAATTAATGAGAATCAAACAGGTTCAAAAGAGTGCTGCAAATGATTAAGAGTAGTTAAAATCTTCATATATTGGTAAGTAATTTTATATATCAAGATTTGTCCTTAACATGCTCCATAGAATGTTGCTTGTTTGAACCCCAAATGTTTGTTTGTGTTTTAGTAAGATCAAATTACTCATTCGAGTTTGGTGACTTTTATTTCATTGTAAAAGATCAATAATATTAAGCGTAGTCGTCCAAAATTTTGTATTATTAGTATTTACACTTCATCGACGAAAGTTTTACGTCTAACACCACCCACCGGTCACATACTGAGAATTCAAGGACCTCCTAAACGAGATGAATAGAAGGAAAGAAATACGGGATGATTTCCACTTTCCATCCATTTACAGCCATAGAATTTCTTGGTTTCGTATATTTTCTGTCATTTATTTAAATAGAGGTCTCAAATAAGGGTCAAATTGCTTGTGAGTACAGGACCTACCTTTTGTCCCCACGCCTAACGACAAAAGTTACACTCCACCAACATTTGTGTTCACCAATCTGAGCTCTGAAGATTTAAGGGTTGCATTAGAATCTATGGCATGTTTAGAAGTCATAATAATATTTCTTGCTTGCTTATTACTTATATTTTGATAGGTTAGTTGTAAAGTTACAATGAATTGTATCCTTAAGCATCACTTAAAGGAGCACCATACCTAAATTTTGGAGTTTAGTCGTAATGAGCTTTCAAATATTTTGTTGTCTAAGCAACAAAAGTTAGAGATATGTACTCTTACTAACAGTGTTCTAAATAGCATGAGATGTGAATTTGTGTGGAGGCGAAGTTTCAAGTAAGACAGGGCTAGTCGCGGCCTAAACGTAAAAAAGGTCAAAAAGCATTTCTTATTTTAATATTATTTTTACTTTATAATCAATCTAAAAATCATTTAATAATTAAAATAAACCTACCGAACATCTAAAGTTATAAAATACTATGTTGGGGACAAAAAAAAGTGTGCCTAAGCTTTGTTTTGCCCACGCTTTTGAGACCACTGCTTGCTAATGAGTTCTCGAGTTCCAGTATTTTCGATGTGTTGCTAAAAGAACAATCGCTTATCCTAATATACTTCCCGATAACACATTTTCATCCTTCAACTACCACCCACCAATCAAAAATATAGGAAAACAAGATGAGGAAATTAGATCAAAGCAGCACAAAGAAAAATAAGCCCTTGTTTGGCCCCCTTTCTTATAAACTCACTTTTAAATACATTTTATAGGACACGACTTTTCTCAACTTTTTAACCATACATTTTACCAACTTTTTCTTAAAATATACTAAAAATCTAATTTTTATCTTAATCTGGATTAATGTTACCAAAAAATTGTTGGATTGTCGATCACTTTAACTATCAAATCAGGTCAGGCACTCAGATTGAATATCACCTAGGTGGTAAAGGTGCATGTTGCCCATGAACAGATAGAGCTTCAACAAAAGGTTTCCTTGTAGTATTGTGCTTTTTTGTGCTAATTCACTTTTTTTTTAATGGTAAAATGCCCGTGGAAACAAGTAAATCAACGAATGGAGAAAATATGTAAAGTAAATAGGGATAATGTAGCATATTTGGCCTAGATGAAGAGACAAACTAGCTTTTTTTGGCAGAATGATTCTACATGCTGTCGAATAAAGCCCTCCTAAAGTAGCTGTTTTGGACTTAAAAACTAGGCCAAACATATGGTAATCTCTGCTCACAGTCCCAGTATTAACAGAATTGGTAAAAGTTTCAATGTCGAGCCGAATTATTAGCTAGGAGTTTCTACATACTTGATCTAGAGAAACTACATTTACAAATCCAAAATCATATGCAAGCCAGAATAAGACTTGATGCTCTTTGGTTATAGCAGATAAATATTCATGGATGCATCAAGAAATCCACAAAAAAGGCTAGCAATCCAATGATCAATGATGGAGACAAGAACTAGGCCATTGTCCCTTATCTAAAAAAATGATATTCAGCTACCAGTGTACTGACATAATTATGCTTATGCATGCGATTACCTATTTCAAATATATAACATAAACTTTCCATCCTCAAGCAAGCAAAAACTAGGAAATCAGGTACAACTCAGCATCTATTTATCAATATGCCTTTATATGTGGAGTTGCAATGGACACTAATACAGATCCAAATTTCAGCAACATACTAGATGAAAAGAGTTAACAGTCATAAGTGGAAGAAGACTACCAATAAGCCAAGGAAACTTACTACGTCAAGTTGGTGGAGGTCCACTAGGAATGCCTTTTGCTTCTGAATTGATGAGCACAAACACAAGAATTGCAAAAATTCCCAGCAAAACACCAAGGATAACTACTCTAGCATTGCTTGAAACAAGTTCATTGATCCAGTCCTCCTCTTCATGTGGACTACCACCGAGCTCTTTAATAGTGGAACTTATCAAAACTTCCAGAAGCTTCTTGGACCGGTCCATATCATTTGAATTCGTTACCTGAATTCTAGCATCTCTCAGATGTTTTATTACCATCTCTGCCTCAACAGATCCATTCTTATTCAGAGAGTTTACTTCTTCAGGATTTTTACGTTTACTGCTTGACACACTGGCAGCTATATACTTGTCACAAGTAATTACGGATGATGATGATAAGGATGGAGAGTGATCAGAACGAGCAACTGTTTCTGATGAAGGTGTATCCACTGGACTTGATGAAGCGATGGAATTCTGAAAAATAGAAAGACATGAACTCCTCCAAAACGAGTTCAATGAACTCGTCCAACGAGTTCAAGGTGAATAATTTTAAGGTGAACACAGACAAAATAAATCCGACCTCGAAAAACTTCAGGAAATTAAAAAATTTTAAGCTAAAAATACATTTCCCTTTCATTACCTCTACAAAAGATTTTGAATAAAAAATCTAATCCAACAGTCAGCCTATGTGAAAGAATAGACTTTAAATTTCGAAACGAATATCTAATATGCTTCGAAAGTAATAGTTATAGATATGAATTAATCATAAATATGCCCAAAAAATGGAATTGCAAAGTGAAAATCAAGTTCTGTAATTAAATTTCACATAAAAAGAATAATAAACAAAGTTTCACCTCTGTAGATTTATGGAAGGGATTATAATCACGAACCTCAGAGATCGAGAAATCAATCGATTTCTCCGGTGATTCAACAACTGAAGATTCATTTTCAGATACCGCCGTAGACACGGAATTCAAACTCTTTTTACTCACCTGCAAAAATAAATCACCCGCCGAAATACAAACTAGATTAATTTTGTGCATAATATTACACATAATATTGTTATTGAATTTAATCGCACTTTATGAGGATTCTTAGTGTAATCGGAAACGGATTTTGATCGCCGATTAGATGGAGTGTTGTCCTTCTGTGGCGTTTGAAGGTAAAAATCCCTCATCTCCGATGCGCATTTGTGGAATGGCGCGGGAAAAAAAATTGAATTTATTTAAAAGGACAAAAAAATACAGAAAACGATCAAACGCCCCTGCTTAATAAAATTATTTTTAAGAGGAATTTTTCTAAACAGTATTTTAATCTTAATAAAAATTATTATTGTTCAGCACTCTTTAATTCTAGGAAAAAGCTATTGGTACATAATCTAGTGTACCTAAGGGTGTACCACTTCTCACATGAGGGTGGGACCCACATGAATAAAATATTCGAGAGCGGGAAAAAAAATTGAATTTATTTAAAAGGACAAAAAAATACAGAAAACGATCAAACGCCCCTGCTTAATAAAATTATTTTTAAGAGGAATTTTTCTAAACAGTATTTTAATCTTAATAAAAATGGTTAATTCAATGGGCGGCCAAGTTTCAAGCTTTACGACCTATGCAAAGCCTAGGTGTAAAAACGTGTTTTTTATTTTTAATATTATTTTAAATTTTAATCATTCTAAAAAACATTTAGTAATTAAAATAATATATATCAAACATTTAAAAAATTATAAAATACCACATTTACTTAATAATTCTTATAATTCGTCAATTATACAATTTTCAAAGAAAAAACTCGCAACTAAATCAAATAAAAGGATTTTTGAAAATGAAATAAAAAAATAACGAATAAATAAAGTGAGCATTAAGGGGTCAACTTTCAGTTTGCGCTTATTGTTAAGGCGAGGCATTTCATCCATCGCCTAAACGCCATCTAGACGTGCTTTTTAAAACACTTCTTGAGAAAGGTCTTTCAATTGGCAATGGCCTCATCTCGAGCACTGAGAGTCTATTGTTGATATAAATGAATTGTTTGATGGATGTAATTCGTGTCGAAGCTTGTACACGTCGGGCTTGAATTGGAGTCGAAGGTGCCTGGTTTTCATGCGAACCATGTGGCGGGAGGGATTGTGGTGGGTTGGGCAGTAAGGTTTGGGGTGTAGATTGTGAAGGTCAATAGTGGAAGATGTGCAAGTAATAGATTGCCGTGGGCACGGTTGGATGTGAGTTGTGGTGGTTATGGTGTGATGAAGAAGATTATTGTTTTTTCCTTTATTTTTGTGTCTCTTCTTTATTTATTTTAACTAATTAAATGTTAAAGACTATTTGTTAAATGCATGTCAAATGATGACATTTTGGTCAACTAACATGCCTTTAGATAAAAACCGTCCAAAAATCCTTTTATTGCACATTTATTGTGGGACATAATTGTTCCGATTTAAAGGTTTGAACTGAGCAACATATTTGTGAAATGTTTGGAACTTCCTCTACAAATTTGCCTTAATATAATGACTTAAACCCGCTTCATCAATTATACTTTTAAATATAGTTTGATTAATTGGACACAACTTAGTTGTGCATTAAGCAACTTGATCGCGTAATCCACATTCACATGATCTTCGTTTTCGGTTTCAGGTCATTTGATCGTGAAAATTTTGCCTTCTCTCTTTGCTGCCTTTTCAGTATATTCCTGCAAAATTTCAAAGCCAAAGTACATCCAGACTGTCATTTACTATGCATTGTTAATGAAAAATGAAAAATTAGCCATAAGTCTGCAGTTGGTGTTAGCGCTGGTGCTGGTACTGGTGCCAAGGAACTTACACAAGACAATGGCTACTTGGTTAGTATTAGTAACATGCGAAGTTCGACTTAGCCCTGTTTGTTTCTCATTTTTTCTTCATTAAAATGAAAAATATGATCATTATCCATCACATCAAGTTACCAAATTTGAATTTCTATTTCTTGTGTGGGGCCCATAACGACTATATTTTTTATTCTTATTTTTACATTAATGTGTACCTAATGGGTCTTACTATGATTATAGCCAAACTTTTGGATTAGACTCTTTCAGATGGAGTCAACTAAACTTGTGATCAACGGAATGACTTCTACTACCATTGAACTTTCAACCTGCACATCCTTCGTTCTAGGCATTGTCAATTGACTTGAGCGCACAATTTTATTGACCAAATCAAATACTTTCTCTGTCCCAGCTTTATAGGTTAACTTCCCTTTTTCTCTTATCCCAAATATATAGACTCGTATCCTAATTTAAAATATATTATTTTATTCATTTATCAATATACCGTTGTTCAATTTTCCTCACTTAATATATCTTCTTGAAATTATCCAAATACACATATTTCCAATTTTCTAAAAATATGGAACAACTCTCATTTCTTCTTTTTCAAATTAAATCATTCAAATTATTTACTAATTCCAACAATAATTTACTATTACATATTGAAAATTAAATATGGGTAAATTATGAAAGATCTTGGCAAAAATTAATTTTTCAATAACATTAAAAAATATTTTTTAATTCGTGTGAAAAATGAAACAAGCCTATCTTTTAACGGTTGTTTCAATATGTTAACGTTGAACTTACTCCTTTTTTAGGTTAGATAAAAATCAAATTTTTGTGAATGTTAATAGAATGTGTAGTTGAAAAGTTATGAATTTCTTAAAATATATAGTTAAAATTAATTGTTAACTAACTTAAGTTTCAATCAATTTTTTTAGCTAACTCAAGCAGAACCTTAATAATATTAAAAAAATTTAAAATTTTGTCCATGCACTGTGACTAACGTCTGATATGGGGCATGGAAATCGAGTTCCTATTTTAGCCCCCGTTAAACCAAAAAGAATTTTCTTCTTTTTCAACCATTAATTTTTCAAAAAAAAATTATTCCATCTATTTTCATTTTAAAAAATTGAGGACCAAGCGGTGCTTAACTTCCGTACGTTGTACTCCAACCATTTTAGACCACTAGATAGCATCAAAGTTTTGTCTCTTTCGTATGTTCTAAAATTTAGTCCCTGTAAAGCTCGGGTGGGGAAATTTCAAGATTAGACACTCTTGAGCCTATTTAATTACTCAAAATAAATATTAATAAATTATTTTTCCTTTGTTTACACTAATTATTTTAAAAATCATAGCAACAAAACGACACAAAACAAATAGAGGACAAATCTTCTTGAGATTCTCTTGAAACATCAGCCACAAAGACATACAATTTTGTTTAATATTCATCTAAGGAATAGCAATTTGAAGTCGACTACACGAACATTTCTTCTTTGTTCCATTCATTGCTAAATATACTGAAAAATCTAAAACAACTAGTTAAGGGTCGAAAGGAATCAAACGGCTAAAATCTTGAGTAAACCCAGAAATGTAACCCCTCCATTTTGATCTTCACCGCCCATTCTGATCATAGCCTTAACGTCTTCATCGTCAACGGCATCAAAACCAGCGCACAAAAGGTAACTTTTGAGATCCTCATGTCCAACTTTTCCATCTCCATCTTTGTCCATAATCCTAAACGCCTCCTCCATTACGTTCACACCTGATCCCTTATTTCTCCCTCTCCTCGTTAGCTCCAAAACTTTCTCAAACTCTTCAAATTCCACATATCCATCTTTGTTTCCATCAGCCATGGATATCATGGACCCGATAACATCTTCTTCCGACGCCCCGTCGGCCAAAAATCCACCGTAAAATGCACGGAGATCATCGCGGCTAATCTTTCCGTCGTGATCGGCATCGAGAACGTTGAATGCTGAACGTAAATTTGATTTCCCGGCGGTCTCTGACCGGAGCAATTCGCTTCCTGTTGGGCACATTCTACTTTGTACCGAAAAACTTTATAATACTCTACTTTTTATGCGAATATAGGAGCAAAAGAGTATGTATTTATAGTTGAACCTCCGATGTTTGAGGGTCCACAAATGTTAATTTTATTGGTGGGTTCACTATCGATGTAATTTTATAGTCGTATGTGATGACGCCATTACATATACACGACTAAATTATGAAGAATTAGACAAAATTGCAATAATTTTCCTCAATCTATAACTCAAATAACAAGTTAGTCTCCGACCTTTAAAAAGAGCCAATTAATTCTCGACCTTTATGTATAATTGCACAATCAATCTTAACTAACATGAAGCGTCCAAATTTCTTACAGTGGCTCTTACAAAAGATGATGTATCACTTCAAATTTTTAAGTTTGGAGAATATAATGTAGTATAATAGGTTATAAAGTTGGGCATATGTGCGTCGCGTTAAGATTTAACGAAAATTTAGACGATTAACGGAATGACTGAAAAATTATATAGAAGCAATAGTCAACAACCAATATGGCAAATTTGCCTAATTGCAGGATCGATTAGCAATATGCCCCAGCTGTGGTTGGCTTGTAGCCTTGTACTTTCGTTCTACATCATTCATTTGGACCGACCTGAGAATCACAAGCCATTAAAGATTTTTGTGGTGTTTCATGCATTAATTGAGTCTTCGTTTGACTTTTGCAACTGTGCACAGAGCTTTGTACGCGAGTAAATATACACGTGTGTATACATGCATCTATTGAGTAATGAATTAATTGATTTGAAAATTTAAATTGTTAAACATTCTTTAAATTAATGTTTAATAAACTCTCTAACTAGTAGACGAGATCTTTTTCAACAAAACCTAATACACTATACAAAATCTTCTGCGCTCAGTATATTCATATGAATTGAATAATGGAAAAATAGAAATTCTAACATTTTCCCTTTTAACCGCGACTTTTGCTAACATGACATGATCAATAAATTTTTTAACGAGTGATTACTAGTGTAAAATTTAGAAACACTTATGATTATTACCACAAGAAAATAATTTCAATTACTATAACATAATTAGTTCCCGAAAATTTTCATATCTACATCCTTACGAAATATATATTTAGTATTTACTATGAGATTTTTTCAGGGTCGGCCCTAATAATTTGGGGGTTTTATGCCAATTTAAAAAATGCGACCCCTATATTTTAAGCCTTCTTACAAATTTTTTTTATATAATTATACAGAATTTAATACAAACAACTAAGTCTGAATTTTGAGGAGGAAAATAACAAAATGTCAAATATTTTTAAAGATTTTTGTATTTTCAATTTTTATTAGTTTCTTGTTTTTTCATATGATTGTTTTATTTTAAAGAATTTCATAAATATAATTTTTTTTTCAACCAACCAATTAATCTTACATAATTTGGAGCCCTCACCAAAGTAAGATCTTAGGCAATCGCCTGCTACACCCATAGTCAAGGCCACCAATGGATTTTTTAAATCTAATTACAACTTTGTGAAATGGTAAATATATAAAAAATGAGTGAAGCTACAAGTATAGGGACCTAGAAATAGGTCCCTACCAGGCAAGAAACATGTGGGAGCAGTCTCCACAATTTATTTATTTTTAAAATACATGTGGGCCCCACTTCCAAACAATGAGGGCCTTGTAATGCCCGGTGAAACCTGCACCTGTACGTGTAGGCTTTTCTTTAAAAAAAAAATACTATATACCATAATTAACCCAATTGTACTCTTTGTAACTAACAAATTTTGAAATTAATCTTAGTAATAGTTGACCATTAATGCCTTTCCACGAACACATAGTGTAGTTCAAAAAACCATGATTAGAGGAGTAACGTATCCCCATTATTTGGTTGAGCTTTTCATCCTTCATTCTTCTTGACCGATTCCAAGCATCAATAATTTTTCTCGGCTGTAGAAATCCATCATCTGTTCTTACTGTTCATTGTCAATGTGAAATTCTTCATGATCTTGTCAGTAGCTTTAGGGTTGACATTGTTGAATTGATCATTACTTAGTTCTTGACTGGCGGATGTTCCAATATATATATATATATATATATATATATATA